ACTCCAGCAACATCAAGACCTGCTGATGGTCAAACCAAAGCAACTCGCATATACAAGAGACGATTCTTGAAGTGCTGTACTTAAAGCTACAAAAGAAAAAACGCACTTGAGATTCTTGGTTAAGTCCGTCACAGCAACACACAAACAAAGGGTCAGTAAAATGGGCTGTTGCTGCCAACAAGTGGTGGAATAAAGTTGAACTGTTTGCAACAGCGATGTCTCTTGTTAAGGATCTTAGCAAAGGACCAGAACGTGATCGCGGCGGGAAACGTGCAAGTAAGATCGTTCCCAAGCATTTTCTTTGAGCTTTAATTTTAACTGAAATATGTTGTATCAAAATGATAATATCTGCGATTGGGTTACTGTTATTACAGATAGGAGAACTCGTTCTTCAGATGGTAACATGGATGTAGGCGTCAAGAGAAAGCCACCTGGTGAGAGGACACGACGTGCTAACATATGGCGATGAGTTGAAAGTCGTACGTGGACTTCGATACTGGTTAGTTTCACTTACAAAAGTCTTAAATGGCAATTTTCATACCTGTTTTTTTTCCCACTCTACCTAGATAGGCTCCAATGTGGCTCGAAAGAAGTGGTATGGGGTTTTTTCTCCTCATTTCTTCCTTGTAGTTGGTGTACTTGTCCTATTTTTGAAGAGGAAGCGGATAATTATATGTATTTTGAATAGGTGTTTTAGATCGCTATGCTTTTGCTTCAGTAACCATGGTAGTGTAGTTGCTTCATTCTGGAACTCGAAATCTGCTGAGGTCAGTCTGAACTGGATCCTTAACGTATGGTTATCCTTAACGTATTCATAAAATCACCGTTCTTGGATTCTGGGACGGTAGATCAGTATCTGATTATAATTTTGCTTTTTTTGATACAGCTTTTATGGTGCCAACGAAGGATGCAAGTGCGATGACAAGTCCTCATGCAACCCTTGCAATCGCAAATGAGAGAGAACACCTCCAAATTATGCTGTTTATATTCCACGAAGTCATCCTCAGTCGACTCAGGATGATGAGCTGTAGCGAAAGTTTTGCAGATCATGTATGCAGTGGCTTTAGGACGCACTCATCACTTTCTGGAAGTTTGACTGTGCTTTCAGTTGACAGTTCGCAGCTTTAGAGTTTTTGTATTGGAACAAAATTGGAATAGAGCTACATAGTGCACTACACATTAACTTTTCTGTACACTCGGATTTTTCTACAGTCTCAGACTTATTTGAATTATGAATTTGAAGCCTTGGAGGCTAATTTTGAATCTTTTTGTATTGTGAGATGTCAACGTGGTTTTTAGTACCAGTTCGGTTCATGGAAGCTGTAAGTTAGGAGATAGTCAATCTACATGGTGGCACACAGGTCGAAAGCAAAAATATAGGGTCACATGAAAGGGAGAGAAACATACCCAACAAATCTAGCTCAATGATAAGAGATACAAAGAAAAGGAATCGGTACTACCTTCTCCATAAAAAGTCATTTCTTTTTCAAACAATATCTCCCGCCTATTTCTGTGTGTTTATAAACGCAGAGATGTGAGATGTAATTGTGAAACATATAGCTCATTTTGTATTAACTGCTGTCGGATGAAGAAACTTACTATATGTTCCGACCAGTTTAATTGATGTTTGAATTTTTTCATAGATTTAGATCAAACTTCGATTGCGATTCTGCTTTGTATCGCAATGTAACTTGATCACTGAACCTGACAACTGACAAAGGAAACATGCATAGCTTGGTAAAACTCCTTAATATGTCACATTTTCATATCACTTGTAGGTGCTCTTCTCTCCGTCGTCGTGTGAAGTAAATGTATTTACCCTCCATTCATTTAAAGGAGCAAGATCTGTTGCCCATATGAGGTCCAGGTAAATATCTGAACTTGTTACATCCGATTTCGTGTACGCTTGAAACACTCATATACCCAAAATTGGAATCAATAGTTTAGATTCAACACTCGGTACTGTGGAATTTAATAGATGATCTATACTCTTGAGAGACGTGAAGTAGCACTTGCTCAGCCAGGGCGAGGGGTCTATGGTCTTCAGGTCATAGCATGTTCATATCAACGGGTACAGTTTGTATAAATGTTACCATAGATCAGAAAAAGTGTCAGGAACTTAAAAGATTGTCACTATCTCTTATATCCATACATAAGAATAGACTAAGCTCAAACACGTCTCAGGCATCCTTTTAGTAAGAGTCTGGTTCACCGACATATCTCCCTTCCGTTCAGAAAATGAGCAAGAGCCCTCGAAGATTATCAAAGAAGAAAAATTTTAATCAGATTTGGAACGTTGTTGTCAGGTCTCCATGTACCGTAATGTTGGACTTTACCTGTGACATAATTAATACTCTGCTGTAGATCATACTGAAACTGAAATGAATGTAACCAAATAGAGAGTACCCGTCAAGATATTAAATTTTGCACGCCTCCTTATTACCAGTTTTCTAGACAGAGTGTGACTAGCACAGTAATACGTGTAGGGCATGAATCTCATATTTTTTCTGCTGTAAATTTCACTCGGAATGATCTGATCCATCTGAGGTCCAAACTTTTGACCTCTCAAATAACCAGTTCTACAAACTCTTCGTATGCTCATAAATTATGGGCTTTGCAAGTTCCTCTTGGCAATGAAAATCTTCTTATAGAAGATACCCTCAATTCATGATTTACTGATCATGAGTGTTACGGACTTAACCAAGAATCTCAAGTGAGTTTTTTCTTTTGTAGCTTTAAGTACAGCACTTCAAGAATCGTCTCTTGTATATGCGAGTTGCTTTGGTTTGACCATCAGCAGGTCTTGATGTTGCTGGAGTCGAATCAAATATCGTCCTCTTCAGTGCATAAATTTGTTCTATACCAGTATACCGAGGAAGATAGTTTGCCCATTCTTGCCATTTTCAGATGAGTCATTCATTCCGGTTGAGCGCATCTACATGGTTGCCGGAATGTATGGTCCGCCGACCCTCCCCGCAAAGTGTTCTTATAGTCCATCGTTAGATCCGTCTGCCGGAAAGCGGAGCGATCTAATTCAATCACTTTGATGCTCCACCGGAAAATTGAGTGCCAATGAAAAACCTGCCCGGTTAGCCTGCCCGCACATTCTTCCATCTTTGGTCCAAAAGAGGAGAGTCGCAGCGAAAAGAAGAACTTCCGTCACGGGTCACTGCCGGATGACACCTGCCTGGGTCTATGAAGGCCCTATATAGGGGCTATGTATAAGTTTGTGCAGCTAAACCCGTCCCGGCCTTATGTTATATAATGTGCAATCATCTTGTATGTCCGACAATGAACATCTGCCGTATATATATATATATTCAACCTCAGTCCGATACGGGTATAGTACATGTATATCAGAGTGCCAAGCACGTTAGAAACTCAAGCCGCATACGAAAACTGAATAAACAATCATTGACGTGGTAAAAGAAAGTTTATCGGCTTTAACTCTACTATCTCCTGCTAGCAAGTCTTAAAAGTACTAATACAAATCGCACTTCATGAACATAGTATTTTTTTCAACGCGAAGTACTAAGTAATATAGTACTAAGTAATATAGGAAAAAAGCATGACAAGTAGTTTTATTTATAATATGTAAATATTTACTTGATGGTACCCCATGTAAAACTTAAATTGTTTATTAACTGGACACTTTATGTTTTGGACACGTCATTCATTTTTTAATATCCACAAACGGTGAACCTAATGAAACTCTGTCGATCAAAATTGTCTGTTCTCAAACTGGACCGAGAATGTATAAGATTCTTGGGGTTGCGGAAACAAATGTTTTCAGATCTAACCATCCATGCCTGAGGAGCGTGTTCTCCACAATCAATTGACAATTTCCAGTCGCGCATGAAATTGAGTGCTTATGATTAGAAATTGACTACCTTTCTGCAACACGTCAGTCGGGGTTAGTCGGGGTTATTCACAGAGACAGCCAGACTGATCTGGACCATGGAAGCAAGAAGATTGAAGTAACGAGTCTTGGTCTTCTTCGAGTACTTCTTCCTGTTATTTCATCTAACCTATCCCTGTCAAGAATTCCTCGTAAATCTCGATGGCAGAACTCCACTAAAACTTCCATCATATGTTTACAATAACACCTTTTAGACTTTCGCGACGGTGTACCATCCTTGGGGTATGACGAAATTTGATAATTCACATCAAATAATTTAGGTTTTCATCGGTCCCATCAAACAAATATCTCACATGATATGGGTAGAAATTAATCTTATTCAAACAACTGTATTTGCAATTGTTGGAGACTTTCATTTGGCCCTATTTAAGTAATACTAAAGATGCTCAAACTTCGCGTACAATAGAATGAAGACAGATGATGGTCGAGATGACCTTCACGAAAGTTTCTAGTGTGACAAGGCCGGTGTCCTAGAAAGTGTTTAGATGATAGGCCGATACTCGATGGGGTTTGTGATTAGAGGATACACCGTCTGTCGGTTTCTTTTGGATTCTCAAGTTTGGTTTTGAACGTTCGCTTTACTTGTCCTCAGTATCAAGATTGTACTTTTAGTGGCCGACGGCATCTTGGCCACTACAATCTGATTTACACTTTTGTATGCAGTCAAATAGAAGAAAGCGTTAATCCGTATGACTGCTCAGCCTCTTGCCGTAGCTGTTATCTCATTTCTTGCTTCCAGTAGGAGATATCTCCGACACTAAGTATAGTTAAGTCTGTTGATCCTCGGGCAGAAGATTTCACTTGTAGTATTATCGATTTTCGATTAGGGTAATCTTCGCTGTAGACGCTTCGAGTGTAGCGTGTTTGTCAACGATGGTATCATCACGAGTGACAATCAACAAAGCATGTTGTGTACAAGCTTCCGTTGGATGTAATACCAGAAACCTCTTCAACCTCTCAGTTGACAGTCTATCTGCCTTCAGACTGTTAATTGGAGGTTCTACAAGGGATGTGTTAACCCGTCGTGTTTCGGATACCTCATTGCCAGCTTGAATATCGTGTACTACAAGAACGCAAAACATTATGCTCGATTTGTAACAATAAGAGTTGCAACGATATATAAGATCTCTGCCCTTTAATAAAAACTCCCTGTGAAAAACTCACTCGCAGGGCGTTGCCGTGATGGGCAGGGCGAACACTGGATCGATGCGAATGCATACATGACCACTGAACTCATGATTATACGATACACAGGGTCACTTTGTCGAGGAAAAGATGGGGACGAACTTCGGAGACTATATCCGAGGACTAAGCTACTGCAGGTCTTCCGCCACACCACCTCTGGGCAGCGTGAGCGGAATCAACTCCCTCTGTAGTCAACTCAACTCTCACGACGATAAGAACCTGTCCACGTGATTGCAGATGTGCCGAACTTGAGGGCAAAGGCATTCACGTGAGTGGTCTGGAGTCGGAATGATTACCTCCTGCTCTTGATAGAATCACTTGATCTCGCAGCTCATCTTTTGAGATAGAGAAACAAGGTCCTCATGACAACAGGTTGAGAGCTTCACGAGGGTGACATACACACACCCAAAATTTGACCAAGATGCAAATAACGCTCATGGTGTAATTTAACGACCCCTTGAACCTTGGTACCTGTTTCTATGCCCATGATGGGGTGGTCCATGATCGTAACCGGGCCCTTGAAGACCACCTGGAGCACTTGGCCCAGCATTTTGACTATTAGGCGACATAGCTTGAAACCTAAAGTCAGGGGCTGGTACTCTGCTACTGTAACCTGAAGCAGGACTTACGAACCCGCCGTGCTGCCCTCTGTAGCTTACGTCTGCTTGATATACAGGATCATATCCTCCTTGTCTTCCAGTCAGGGTTCCTTGTAGCTGATTGTTGTACATTGAGAAGGAGTTCGGGCTAGCTTGAGGTAAGACACTTACCACAGTTGGTCCTAAGTTCATTCCCATTCCCTGGACATTACTCCGGCCAACATTGCCAACATCGGGTGGCATGTTCACAGGCCCTGTAATGTGGAAAAAGTTTCCTCGGCCATCAGTAGCTATCTGGGGACCGGGGACAGGAGAGTAATTGAAGGCTGAGAAACCGCTAGCTACTTGTTGTATTGGTTCAGCTCCAGGCACTTGCAAGTGTCTGTGGATAGGTGCAACGCCGAAGGAAGAGTGTCCTTGCATCGGAATCGCTTGATGCGGTTGTCTATCTACTATGTCCGCTTGTTCGGAGTACCAGGGGCCATCCCTCAGTTCTTCCCTTCTCATCAACGGTGCCTGATGATGGGAACCACTAGCACTTGGACCTGTTTGTGAACTTATTCTTGTTGGGGAGGTAACCCAATCCCCCCGACTTAGACCGTCGTGAAGTCTCGAGTAGGTTGATCCCAAATCATGCCCATCCCAGCCTCCAGAGTTGGATGGACGTGAGTTACTCTGAAACTTCGCTCTTCCTGCAGCTGGTCTCGATCTTCCCCTTCCTCCGTGGATCATATTTCCCGAACCTGCTGCGTGGTATCCTGACCCGTGTATGTCCATGTCCGCCACCGACGTCGCTGCAGAGTCAACTCCTTCGGCCTACCACGAGAGAACTCATAACGAGTTTAGCAAAAAATCATTTTCCTTTAATAACTCACACATTCTATCCTGGCCTTTGCAAGCAAGATTGACTTGCTTTTCTTATTCCCTCTTTCTTACGTGAGAGTTTCAACCGGCCACAAGGGCTTCAAACAAAATAGAATCCAACTAGGAACAGAATACACCCTAACACACAACTATTACACGCAATATATGGAAAAGACACGAAACTGAGGAGAAGAGGCACTCTAGACACTGAAGAAACATCCAATACTTACCATGCGAGGACCTCGGCTATTACCACGTCCTCTCCCCCTATCCTTTCTCTGCCATCTTCCCTTAGCTTCGGGGGGTTGAGGGTCAGATGTGTCCCACCCATGCCCGCCTGCAGCCTCCTTGCCTTCATGACCTCTCTTTCCCCTATCTCTCTGTTTTGCTGCCATTTCTTTCTCATCATCTGAAAACTCAATCTCTGCGTCCGACAGCTCCTCATCGTCGAGACCCGAAGCATCGATAGCTTTCTTGTACAAGCTGGGATTGTCCTTGAGAACAAATTCCGCAAACTCAGCAACACAAGAGACCTCGGCTCCAACCTTAGCGGACTCATGTATTTCGGAAACCTCGTTGAAACGCACAAGATAATAAGGCTTCTTTACGGGGCCGAAGACTTCATCTACAATGCCCAGAGGTACCCTGCTTTCGCTCAGCCACAAGATGGAACCGTCGCTCAGCACCCTGCTGTCATCGTCGCCCTCCACAACAATATTCAAGTCTACTACCTGTAAAACACGCACATGAGATTTCAATCAAGCCTTAATAACAATAGAAGATGATAATAATTAAAATCTTGACATCTCCAATTGCTTTCTACAGTCTACACTCGTCCCAGGAAAGACGACACTAACCGAGGAAACGAGGCCGATGCGGACACACTTGTGCTGAGGTTCAAGAACGGCCTCAACCTTTGGCACCGGAGGCAAGACCTGGATAGAACATAACAAACATCAGCGAGGATACGACGAGAGTTAACCAATGAGATAAATAATTTACAGGTGACTCTTATCTCTTTCCACCAAATTCCAAGAGACAACACCAACAATAGCTGCTTACTGCAAGTTCATGTTTAGTGCGAGGTGGCTCGGAATCTTCTTTCACTTCCTCAGTGCTTTTGCGAATTTTCTCCTTGATTATCTTCATGTCTTCTGAATCTGAAGTAGAAGAAGATGATTCGTCGGAAGAATCTTCGGATTCAGACTCCTCTTCTTCCTCCTCTTCCTCGGACGATTCACTTTCCTCTTCGCTACTATCATCGGTAATAACCATTCCCATGTTCGCCAAACCTTCAGAAGACAAACATCCGTCCTTCAACATTCCACCGAGCTCGCTATGATGAACTCCATACACAATCTTGGGAAATTCCACGTCTATCGACGCAGCTTCCGGCCCTGTCTCTGGAGCAACCTGACGTGAGGAATCCAAATTCCCCACACCTGCAACAGGTTCCTCTGAAATACCGTTGTTTATGCGGCCCGTCTCAACATCTACAGATATTGGGTGAGCAACCTGTTTGGCCTCACGCATTTTGACGTCCTCGAGAGAGAGATCACTACCCATAGCCGTCATTTCTTCCTGCCTAGTTACTCCTCCTCCACCTCCATTCAGTCTCGAATTTCGGGAACCAATTCCATCCTGGTTTGTGCCTTCTTTCCCATTCGATAATCCTTGTCTTAGAATCAGAGGCTCCCCTTCTTGAAAAATAGCGGGCTCTTCTTTCACGCGCAGCGTTTCTGCTTCCCGCGACAGAACTCCTTGGTTCGTCAGCAGGTCCGAGACTTCTTGCTTCTCTTTCAGAAGCGCGTCCATCTCTGATTGATGTTCGGAATGTTGATCCTTCTCTTCTTTAAGCTTCCAGAAATCCGCACCGATTTTCTCTCGCCCTAGTCCCTCCGCAACATTACTGCCGTCCTCCACCCTCTTCGCCAGGCCGGTGTCCACTTTCCCCAGCCCGATGTCCGACGAGACGAAAATGTCCTTCAGATCGCCGTTGCTGATGAAATCTAGCTCCGACCAAATAGGCTCCAGCATTTCCCGTTCGCCGCCGAGCGCGTCTGCGTCATCTCGATTGGCAGCGTCTCCGACGGGCTCGCCCATACTGGTCAAGGCTGCTCGAGCTGCTGCGAGCTCCCTTCCCTCTCACGTGTCGAGAAATCAAATTCCCTCCTCGCCACGCGTCTGCTCCCGGCGCCCACCAGACATCCGGAGCTCGAACTTCGCAGGACAATCTCCGTCGGCCTCTGCCTCTTTAAAGCTCCAGACGAATGCTCCTCTCCTCGTCCTAACGGGAACAACCACCTCACCACCTCACGTTTCGGACGGCAAAGCAGCAGCTCAAGCGACAGGCTCCAGCTCAAGCCAAAATCCTCAAATTGAATTCTTCAACTGCAACATCAGAAAGAATGTCGTCGGAGCCACGGCGCGTGTTCCTCTCGTACCGAGAATGTCGTCCTGTCTCGGAAATATTTTGATGGACATGTTCTTTACACCAGACTGCCTCGTCGGTCCTGCATCGATGCTCGGGAGATTTCTTCTGATTGGTTGTGTTCGAGACATGCTACCGAGGAAATTCAAACTTTCCGACCATTTCGTGTGAACCGACAGACCTGTAGTTGAGGTCTACGCTTCGACCTTTCTTAGGCAGTTTTCTTAGACTGTAACTTGTTCGACCTTTCGGAGATTCCGTGCCCAATTCTAGACCAGAGTGGATTTCGGCCGAAAATTCGACATGCTCGAGATATTATTGCGGCCATTTGTCGACTGGAGTGTGGCGCTTGAATGCCGGGGACCCGGGCCTCGCAATTCGCGCGATTGAGTCTTGAACCCTAAACCCGTCAGAGAATTGCTTCCCGTTTGAATATGCATGAGATTCCGATTCCCCTGTCTGCAACGTTTCTGTTCCTGTTCTCTCGCAAGTCAGGCCCCTAAGCCCTCTCACGTTTTCTTCAACCCTAAACCTAAATCCTGTTTTTTTCTTGAGGGTTTTAGGGTTCTCATCCTTCGATATAAATCGAAACAAGACATTCTCATTGTTTTTGTGTCTCGTAGGATCTTTCCACAATGAAATGGATCGAATTAGTATTGATATTTTTTATAGTATATCAAATTTGAGGGTTCATTGGTTTCATTTTACAGTCCTCGGAATGCGGCTCACATGCATTTCGATGGGATGGACTTAACCAGACATTCCTTCGAACATACCCCTTAGCAGTCTCATTTATATATACCAACCCAAAAAAACCCCTAATATCAATCCCCCTTCTCCAACTTAACGGGGTCTTTATTACAAAGGTCCTGTTATGCTCTTCGTTATATTCATCATCCCTTCTCTACTTCTTTATCACAAGAATTTCGCAAGCAACAATTGATTATAAATTCACGGAGAAATGAACAACGATAAATCTAATATTCAATGACCGAACCTGTACATGGATCATTTATGGACTTAAAAAATAATCAAATATCCACAATTTACAAACCTTTTGACGACGTAAGTAAAAGATTCTACTTTTTGTTTGTAAATAGTTGGCCGTGACAACGTTTTACAAAGCTCATAAGTAAATCTCTTATTATAATACTCAACCTTTATGCCTAACATTGAGTAATGTGGAACTATAGATGATAATGTCATCATGTTTGCCAAAAGAGTGACATATATTAGATGTAAGGGTACTTGGCATGTTGTGTAGACTTGTTGGAGTATGAAGTGTATCAAATAACAATTATTGTTCATAGATGTAACTATTTATTTAAATTTTTTGAAGACAATTTTAAAAATAAATAAATTATATAGATTATTACTTATTGTATCAATATGCTTCATATGTATTTACATATATATTTCATTATATTATAGTTTTCCATAATAAATCAGACTCATGAGAACAAATATTCGATAAAATTCAAAATTATATTATGTGAATGATGTTGAATAAAGTTGAGTGCCATACATATATCATATTTACATGAAAATTCACTACTTAAAAAGTGAAATAAGTACCTCGAATATAAATTAGTTTACAAAAAAATGATAATTGTATTTTTTCATGACAATATGTTCATATCCAAATTTAACTTAAAAAATTATATCAAAATGAACAATTATGAATACAAAGTTAATGATGAAATTATATATCATGATAATCTAAATTGAATAAAATTATTAAAATAAATTTTCAGTTAGAACTGCCTAATAGACATTGGTTATGAATTTATTGCACTTATAAACTTCAAATATGATTTTATTGAAAGGCGGATGTTGACAAAAAATATACACATAACATATAAATAATAAAAAGTGTCCAATCTAAAATATATTTTTAATCAACTTTCTAATGAATTAACAGATATAAAAAAATTCTCAATTTAACCTTGATGATAAATCATAATAGGTGCCACTTGAATTTAATTTATTCAATACAGTTAAAAATAGTTAACCAAAATGTTCAAGAATCATCTCCGACGAAATGATCATGTTTGACTAGCATATGCAATGAAATTATTTCACATGTGTATTAAAACGATGTTCAATTCAAAGCTGAATTTGTTCACTCCAATTTTTAAAAACTTTGTATCAAAAAATGAATTATATTCACGTAAAACATATGATAATAAAGAAGCAAGAATAGTAGAATTCCAAAGCATATAATCTGCTTACAACAGTAATCATTGTTGTAATAATATATATTATGATTCAAATTTTTAATTAAATAATAACTTAATATTATACATTGCAAAATTATCAGAGTATAATTTAAAAATTCTCTTAATATATATTCGTAAATTTTTTATTAATTTTATTCATAATTATTATTATTACAGGTTCTTATAATCTAAGAGAATCAAACACAAACAACTTGGCAGATGAGTGAAAAAAATCACTTAAAAGTTTTGTATTATATCCTTGACTTATGTATCATCAAAATTATTAGTTATGAAAAAGATTGATATGTAAACAATGAAATATTACACACTTTCAAATGAATTTAACTATGATTTTATTCGATTAAAAAAACCGATTAAATTATTATAAGATATAAATTAAACGTATTCATTAAATATCAAAATATTAACAAGCGAAAATTTTGTTTAAATTAAAGCATAGTGACATATTAATGTATAAATAAGCTATTGAAATTTGCAATAATGGAGATTCTTACTTTCAATCAATGCTTCAAAAAAATAATATTTTCAAAAATTTTTTCTAATTTGTTCTAGTATTGAATACAATGATTCACTATTTCATATCAAAATTAGACAAGTATCAAGTTAACAACTATAAAAAAAAAGGTTAGGTTAAAACTTCTTTTTATGAAAATATAAAATTAAATTAAATTCAAAAGAGCTAAAATTTATTTTGGAATGTAATGTAGAAATATAAAATTATATATTTCTAAAAAAAAAGAAAATCTAAACTAAATTGTGTTCACTCATAAGTGAAATTGTACAAATAATTGAGGAGTGTGAGTTACGTTTTTATAATTGCAAGATTGTAAAATAATGAGCTTTCATCGTAGTTATTGTTTTATATTGTTAAAATAAGTGATGTGCAATCACACACAATTCTTTTATCATGTTTTGACTTGTTGATGTGACATTAAAACTCGCATTTTTTAAAACGGTCATAATATATTCACACTAATAAAGTGTTTAAAATGAAAATGAACATAAATTAATGTGATGTAATAAAAATACAAAATTTTGTTACTTTCATCTTTTCATTTAGTAATGAATGATTCAACTTATATGAAAATAGATAGTCAAATTTTGCTCGTAGAATATGATCATTTACATTTGTGTATGATGATGAGTAATCTAAATTCCAATTGAATTTATATAAATGAAAAATGGAATATTATAAATTCAAGGTAATATATTATTATTATAAATGTTAAGATTCAAGCTTTTTTTGTATTTTAAAACATATTTTTGACTATAAATTTTCATTTACTATACTTTTTGTTACTTGAATTTGCATTTCTTAATTTTCTTTACAAATTGTAATTAAAAGTATATTTAGCACTCTAATATTACTTCGCTAAAATGATTGCATGAACAAAGGTTCAAACTTCTAGATAAAAAGCGTTTTTTCACACTTCTTACGTGAATCATTCCACACAATCTCTTATAATAAAAGTTTGAATAAGTAAAATTTCAATTTGCGAAAATGTCTTTTTATAAGTTTTCTTTTATTTTTCCCAATTTCTCATTATATAGCTTAATAATCAAATGATTTATCAATTTTATAAACAGTAATATTTTTTCAAACATTTACATACATATGAATTTCTAAATTATACCTCTCATTGATTTTTTCATTGATAAATGTTTGCATACGATTTTGTTCTTACACTCATGTTCATTATGGCAATTTTCAGATGTATAAATGAAACATACTTTCTTTATTATCGTTTTAAATTATAGTCATGAATTTAATAATGTATTTATCTAATGACAAGCTATTAATCTTCAAATCATTAGTACTTAATATAATTTGGACGCTTGAATTAAAGAAAATTTTGAGTTGAAACTTTTTATGCAAGCAATGAACAGATTTGCAGAACTTTTAAATGCTTTAAAATATACGCAAATCTTGCAAAAACTATTATATATATCAAAGAAATTATTATTTATAGAAAAAATTTCATATTCTCGTGGTTGATTCATCTTGTCCACCTTTCAAGTAAATCATAAAAAAAATTATTTTATGCTTAGATGGTTTGAAAGAAAACTTTTAAACATTTTAAAAGTTACCATAAAATTTGAATTGATTTGAATTCATCCGCCAATAAAATGTCTGCATTGAAACATTAATTCTAATGATTTCAAATTTGTTAGTTATCTTTAGCCTTAACAAAGTACCAAATCATAATACAAAGATTTTAGGAAAAAATAAAGCTTAACAAATAAATATCAGTTTAACTATCAGTTTTAAATAAATATCAGTTAAGAAAAGATTGATCTATAACTGAAAATAATTATCAACAACAAATGCAAAAACATAATTGATTTTATCATTTCTTCATAGAATTATGATTGATATAAATCATCAAGAATTGAAAGCTGAGTTCAAGCTCAAATTGTAATAAATAGTATTATTATGAAAAATATATTCAAGAGATATCATTTTAAATCAAACAAAGAAATAAATAAATATAAAAATAAAATGAAATATTGTTGTATAGAGTTAATATTTCACATTAAAATAACAACATTTTGAATTATATGAATTATCAATAAAGTAATGTCACATTTTAAAATCTAAAAACATACATGAAATCTAAACGTATGATTTAATCTTATATATTAGTATTATTTTTATTATTATTAGCATTCATTACTTTGAAATGTGAATGATTGTTTTTTGAAAGTTCTAAGCAAGTATTTAAAAGATTAACAAAGAATAAGGATTGATTTACACACATTCAAAATATATTTGATTGTTTAAAAATTCTAAATGAATTTTCAGACGTTAAAATTCTGAGCTTTTTTTATAGTTATTTTGTTTTTTTTCCATTTTTTGGCATTTATCAAAGATATTAAATTGGAAAAAGAAAATATTTTGTAAGTCTTAATCTTTAATGGCAATATGTGATAACTCAAAGCATATTTTATCTTAATATTGCACAAATAATTGATTTTTGGTGAAAATTTAAAAAAATATAATAAACTGATTTTCTCAATTTTTGCGCGACAAAATTTAGCAATTAAATAATGTTCATCCGATTGTGAAGTTATGACATAATGAAGTAAAACATTGGATTTCTTAGTTCATTATTTTCATT